TTTGGTTCCAGAATTATATACTAGATAACTAAAGCCCTGAGAAGACTAAGTGATTTATTTAATCTCCTTCACAAAGAATACAAAGCTGATAAGTAGATAAAGAAGACTCTGCTTTAACCTTTACAAACAATATAACTGAAATTACTTGTCAACTTTGAAACTACTGGTTGAAACCCCCCCTCATCCCCCTGCTTAAACTCTGGGCTTGGGCACTGTCCCTGAGCCTCTTGTACTCAAGGCTAGTGCTCTACCACCCAGGTGGGCTTGGAACCATGAACCTCAGATCTCAGCCTCCTAAGTAGCTAAGATTACAGTGTGAGCCACCAGTGCCTGGCTTTTTATTTTATGGTTTCTTCAGCCTTTTTGCCCATAAGCACTCACTACCTAGCCCATGCACTAGAATTTCATTGTTTTCGCTATTACACTATAGGGATTCTCTGTAGAAGTGATAGAGAAAACATGTATTCTTATAAGGACTCACTTGTCATTCTCACTGAAGAATTTTTGCATGGCTCTAGTATACTTTTGCTGTGGTACACTTTATGATAATTGGCATGTATGTGCTTATTAGGCATTTTTCTTTAGGTTGTCCATCATGCTGAAGTTAAGAGGGACACAGAAACTGAGCTTGGAGCCTGGCCTAACATAGATAGAGCCTAGTGTCTTACATGATTCCAAGTCATGGTTCTTGCAATGGGACAAGCTAGATATCTGATGACGAGATCCAAGGTTTCACTTCTCAGGTGTGTCCAGTTTTAACATGATTGGGCTGTCAAGTGTGAGGTAATATAGTAGCTGGCTCTGCTTACAAAAATGAAATAGTTTCCTAGGTTGCGTACTTGGAAGTATGTGGGTATATGAATTAAAATTAACTGTGAATATTAATGACTTTTTCCCTTTGTTGCAGAATATTGATCAGACTTCCTGAATAGAGAAAAAGTTTATGTGATCTGTTGTGTTGAGGAAGAACCGAAGAAATAGTAGACTCTGAATGGTTTAGAGCTCAATCATCATTGCAAAGTGGAATGATGGGTTTGTTTTTCCACTTGAGAACTTTATTTAAAAATGAAATATTGTCTCCATAATAAGTTTCTATTTTCTTTCTACTGAGTTGGGTTAGGAAGTATGGTGTTATTAGAAACCTTGTCAGAATTTTCTGTGGTGTATATATGCATTATCTTGTAATAGCTATATCTTACATTTATATATGTAACAGATCTTTGCATTTTGATGTATAAAACATAGGAAATGTTAGTCTGTCTCAAAGCTCTGTATTTACATAGTATTCTTGTAGATTATTCATGCTAAGAATGAGCACTTTGTGAGTTAAAAAGTTGTTAATTTTTAATATATATTTAATGATAAAATGTCTTATCTGAGACATGCAAACAGGTAGAAACCAAATGGGGCTAGTAGTGTTAATTTATTTTTTTTAAGGTTTTTGTTTTGTCTTTGTGATGGGTCTACTGTACAATGCAAGCTGGACTCAAACTCATGATCCTTCTGTCCCAGCTTCCCAAGTCCTGGGATCATAGGTACCTCCCACCACACCTCCACATTCAGCTAAAAGTGAGTTTTCACTTTAATTTTGTAAAAAGGAATTTACTGAAGGCCCAATAAACAGAAGTGGAATCCTCATAACTATGTATAGGGATACTCAGAGATTGCTGCTGTTCCATTTATTTTGCAGGAGCTAGCTAGGTTTTACTTTGAGCTGCCTGGAAGCTCTCTATTGGTCTTTAAGCTAATGAAGGCTCTTCTTTTACCACTGAAGGGTAGTTTTTTTTTGTTTTGTTTTCTTTTGTTTTTTTGGTCAGCCGTGGAGCCTGAACTCTGGGCTTGAGCACTATCCCTCAGCTCTTCAGCTCAAGGCTAGCTCTCTATGACTTGAGCCACAGGGCCACTTCCAGCTTTTTCTGCTTATGTGGTGCTGAGGAATCAAACCCAGGGCCTCATGCCTGTAAGGCAAGCACTCTACCACTAAGCCACCTTCCCATGAGCCATCTTCCCGGTCCCGGTAATGTTTTGATATCATAAGAAAAGAGTCACTTAAATACTTGGGATAATAAATACCTAAAAGACATTTTATTTTAATAGTAATCTTTTCTTGTTATAATGGGGATATTATAAATCATACGTTTGTATTAATGGTATTTCTTAAAGCAATAGTGTAACTAAATCAATCTGCAAATTATAGGCATCTATAAATTCTGTTGTAGGGATTGTAAACTTTCTTGAAGCCTTTTAACTAACAGATTATGTCCTGATTGTATTGTTAAAATACTTTTAGAGTCATATTTGTTTAATTGTCTTTATTAGAGTTGTAGGTTGAAAGGTAAATAACTTTATATTTGTATAAAATGCCACTGTTTCCAGAGCATTCAATGTGTGTCATCTCAATAATCCTCATGAATAGATGATGAAAACAACCTTCAGACTACTACCTGCCCAGGGGAATTAAGATTGCAGAAATATCTGTAGTCTGTAATAGGATATACTTACTATTTTTAGAAATAATTGTGTTTAAATGTTTTTAACTTTTTTTTTTTTTGGTTGCGGGGCTTGAACTCTGGGCCTGGGTGCTGTCCCTGAGCTCTTCAGCTCAAGGCCAGCGCTCTACCATTTGAGCCACAGTGCCATTTCCTGTTTTCTGGTGGGTTATTGGAGATAAAGAGTTTTGTGGACTTTCCTGCCCTGGCTGGCTTTGAACGGTAATCCTCAGATCTCAGCCTCCTGAGTAGCTAGGATTACAGGCATGAGTCATCGGCCCCCAGCTTGTTTTTACTTTTTTTTAAAAGAATCATTAATTTGTTTAAGTGCTTGTTTTCCATTTTGTTTATTTTCAGGTGGCATTCCATCTGGTGGGGAAAGTTGGTACTGCACTGAAGACAGTTTCTTTTTTTTTCTTTTTTCTTTTTTTTTTTTGGAGAGAGAGAGAGAGGTCAAATTTTGGTCTTTAAGCACTAGCGGACTACAGATGGCCAATTACAAAGATCTGCAGCCTGAAGACAATTTCTTATTTAATCTGAAAGATCACACCTACACTTTACATCTTTAGGGACTGTAACATGAATACAGTCATAGTTCTTGAGGTAGCTCTGTTATTTGAACCTGCAATCCTAAGCCTAATAGGAATTTAATTTTGGACTGGCAATGGCAGGATCTATCAGGTACACCCAATGTTCATGTCTCCTGTATGTTTTCTAACTACTAGCTGGGAACCTGGCAACTGAGAAAGATAACTTCCTAGAGTTCATCACTGTGTCTTAGTGTGGCCATGACTCAGTGGATACATTTCTAGGAAGGAGAGAGGGAGACATCCCTATCCCTTCTCCTCTTTTCCTTCTCTGGCAGAAATATAGACCCACTAAGTAAAGCTGGAGCAACCACTTGGACTATGGAGTGGGAACCTCCTTATATGAATGGTAGAGAAATTAAGTAGAGATTGTTTAAATTTGCTGGTATAGCAGTCTTGAATGGCTTGTCTTAACTTCCTTTCTTTTTTTGATTGTTGGTGGTATGGCATTTGAACTCAAAAAAGTGTTTTAAATTTCTAGGCAGGCTCTCTCCTGCTTGAGCCATGTCCTAGCCCTTTTTGCTTTAGTTTTTAGGATGTTCATGTTCAGCACAGCCTGGACCTCCATCCACCTATTTACAATTCCTACATAGTTGGGATAATAGGCACTTGCCACTTGGCCCAATTTTTATTGCTTAAGAAGAGGTCTCATAACAGCTGGGCACTGGTGGCTCATGCCTATAATCCTAGCTACCCAGGAGGCTGAGATCTGAGGATTGTGGTTCGAAGCCAGCCCAGACAGGAAAAGTTCATGAGACTCTTACCTCCTGGGCCTGTGGCTCAAAGTGGTAGAGCACACTCCTTGACCACAAAGCTCAGGGATAGCACCCAAGCCCTGAATTCAAGCCCCATGACCAACAACAACAAAAATGAGGTCTCATAAACTCATTTGCCTGGGCAGATATAATCTTCCCAGGCAAATAAGTTTACATAATCCTCCTGATCTCTGCCTCCTCCCAAATAGCTAGGATTATAGGCATGCACCAGTATACCTGGCCTTATTAAATTCTTATTAATGCAATGAACTTTGAGCATCACCTGTAATTGTTTTCATTGGTACAGTATTTGAGATGGATATACTTACTTTCTGACCTCTCCACATAGTATTAACTGAATACTCTAGATACTAGTAAGTCCCACTGTTTCAGGTGCTGTTGTTGCATAAAAATTGATCTCAAATCTTAGTGTACATAACAGTCATTTTGTTACACTCAAATTCTGTGGGGAACACAAATAAAATAAAATTAAACTAAAAAAAAAAAAATTCTGTGGGGAAGGAATTTGGAGAACAGTTGAGACAGCTTTTCTCTGCCAAATAGTGTCTGGGGCTCAGCTAGAAAGTTTTGAAGGCCGGACTTCATCCTACAGCTGGGGCAAGAAACACCTGCAGTGTCTTCAGTTACAGATTTGGGGTGTCATCTTGAGCCTCAGACTCAAGATAGTTTGAACATCTGTATTGTGACTCTTCTGTGTGGTTTCTCCCATGTGCTCCTGTGACCTTATACTCCTAGCTACTTGGAAGACTGAGATGTGAGGATCAGAGTTTGAAGCCAGCCTGGGCAGGAAAGTCCGTGAAACCCTTATCTCCAGTTAACTACCAAAAGTCTAGATAGAAGTGGAGCTCTGTGGAGCTCAAATGGTAGAGCTCTAGCCTTGAGCGCAAAAGCTCAGGGACAGGACCTAATTCCTGAGTTGAAGCCCTAAAACCAGTGTGTGCGAGCGCGCGCACACGCACACGCACACGCACACACACACAGAGTTGTGCTGGGCTTTAGTGGCTCACACCTGTAATCCTAGCTACTCAGGAGGCTGAGATCTGAGGATCATGGTTAAAAGCCATTCTGGGCAAGAAAGCATGCAAATGTGCTAGCATGCAAAAAGTAAGCCTATATCTTCTGTTGTATAATTAATTGAAGTCAGTACTGTGCTCGCTCCAGCAGCACATAAACTAAAATTGGAATGATACAGAGAAGATCAGCATGGCCCCTGCGCAAGGATGACACACAAATTTTGAAGTGTTCCATAATTTGAAAAGCCAGTTAACCATCAGAAAATGAGAAGTGGAGCTGTGGTAGACTGCCAGCCTTGGCAAAATAGTTCAGGGACAGCGCTGAGTTCAAGCCCCACCACCAACAAAAAGTTGCTTGCTTGTTTTTGCTTTCCCTGGGACTGTCTTGGATACAGGTGAGTTGACTGGATGATTCAGGTAAAACAAAAGCGAAATCACATTCTACTGCCACCTTTGTGTCTGTTCTTAGACTCCCATCTGAATAAATAGGTGAATGTGAGTGTATGTGTATATGTGTGTCTGAAGGCATAGTTCCACCATGGTGTAGGTGCTGTGGTCCTTTAAAGCCTGAAAAATGGTTCTTTTATGCATTATCTCTTTTGCTTCTCCCCATAGCCTCAAGGGGTTTCCTTGTTTGTTTTTCAGTGAGACCTCTTGAAATGCTTTTCATGTTAGAAATTGGGAAGCTGAGTGGAGATTATGAGCTAGTAACCTACTATAGTGTCATTTCTAATCTATTTTATAGTTGAAACACATTCTGTCCCTTATGTTTTTCAGATAGTTATTGAATTCAACCAATGCTGTATGTATTAGAGTTCATATTTTTTAACATTTCTTCTAAGGTATTGACTGCAAACTCTCGATTATGTTCTTTCTATAGCTTGCCCCTAGTCCACCAGATGGCAGTATACCAGTGTCTGATGTAAATGACACCACTACTACTGGGTTTACATGAGAAGTGATGATGTGGCTAGATGCACAACATCTAGCATGCAAATAGTGGCTTAGGAGTAAGCCTGTATCTTCGGTTGTATAGTTAATTGAAATTAGTACTGTGCTTGCTTCAGCAGCACATAAACTAAACTTGGAATGATGCAGAGAAAGTTGGCAGAGAAGATGCGCAAGGATGACACACGAATTTGTGAAGTGTTCCATAATTTGAAAAAAATGCTGATGCACTCCTATCTCCAATTAACCACCAAACTGGAAGTGGCCTACAAAGTAGAATATTAGCCTTGAACAAAAAAAGCTAAGGACCCAAACCCTTAGTTTAAAACCCAGTACTGGCACCAAAAAAAAAAGGGGGGGGGGAATATCTCTGTAGAGCCGAGTTGAAAACATTACAGCCCATAGTTGTCTGTTGAAAAAGTGTACAGTGTACTTAGAGAATTTCAGCTGAGCTGTAATTGCCAAGAAGCAAGATGTCATAAGGCACAGGGTTGGGGCATGCCCTGGGGACAGGCATGGAAAAGACACTAACCAACAGAGTACTAGTGGTTCACACCTGTAATCCTAGCTACTCTGGGGGCTTATCTGAGGTTCCAGGTTCAAAGCCAGCCCAGGAAAGTCTGTGAGACTCAGTCTCCAATTAACCAGGTAGCTAGAAGTAGAAGTGGGACTCAAGTGGTACAGCACCCTTCGGCAGAAAAGCCAAGTGAGAGCTCGAGGCCTTGCTTTGAAGTGACCCTAACAGCTCAAAAACAAAAATACAACCTCCGTGATTCCTTGCAATAATCTTACGAAGGGGATGTTATTTCCATTTTACAGTTGAGGAAATGACGTCTTAGGGAATATAGGAATTGGCCCATGGTCAGATTATATTTAGTATAAGATGGGTTCAGGATTCAAATTTGAGCAGCTATCTTAGGCTTACACTGCCCTAAGCCCCACACATTAGTTTTCCCCAACTGTATAGCACTATGTCCTTTTGCTGTACCTGGACAGGAATTGTGGCTTGGTGAGAAGAAATGCCAGTGCTAATAATCTTGGGCTTTTGGCAGTTTTTGTGATCTTTTACTTTTGAAAGCAATGAGTGTTGGCAACAGGTAGAAACAAGCAGGCAACAGCAAAGTCTTAGAGTCTTACAGCTCTTAAATGGCCTTGGGTCCTAGGACCCTTAGCCTTATAATAAGTGTACAGCTCAAGGGCTGGGATTTCAGAATCTTCAACCCTTGAGACTTGGCAGCTTGCTCTTAGTGACCAAGTCCTACAGTTGTTCTTAGCTTTTTTACAGCCTTATATATACTTCAGCCATGTCTCCTCCCTTTTCTTCTGTCATTCCTTGTCTGTACCACCACTTCCCATCATTTTTGCCCACTCTCTGAAACTTTATTGGCCTCTTGTGATATTGCTGCTGTCACTGTTGGAACTGCTATTACCACTGCTGCCACCACCTGTCTTACTAACTGATTGATTGTGCTGGTCCTGGAGCTTGAACTTGGTCTGGGTATTATCTCTGATTTTTTTTTTGCTGAAGGCTAGCACTCTACCACTTGAGCCACCGCTCCATTTTTGGCCTTTTGGGAGCATAGTTTAGTGGAGATAAAAGTCTCAGACTTCCCTGCCCAGGCTGGCTTTGAACTGGAATCCTTAGATCTCAGCCTCCTCAGTAGCTAGGAATACAGGCCATCAGAGCCTGATTTTGCCTGCTTTTTAAAAAATCTTTATCACTAATAAAGCAGGCTAAGCTGATTACATGGAGAGGCACCAGCCAGGTACCAGTGGCCCATACTTTTAATCTTAGCTACTCAGGAGGCTGAAATCTGAGGATCACAGAGCCAGTCTGGGCAGAAAAGTCCATGAGATTCTTACCGGCAATTAACCACCAGAAAATTGCACTGTGGCTTAAAATGGTAGAGCACTAGCCTTGAGCAAAAGAGCTCAGGAACAGTGCTTAGGTCCTGAGTTCAAGCCCAATGACCAAGAAAAAATAATAATTGTTCATTTTTCATTTTCTGTTAGTCATTGGGGTTGGAACTCAGGGCCTGAGCACTGTCCTCTTCAAGCCATAGCTCCACTGCCAGGTTTCTGGTGGCTAATTGGAACTAAGAGTCCCATAGACTTTCCTGGCTGGCCTCTAACTATGATCCTCAGATCTCCGCCTCCTGAGTAGCTAGGATTACAAGTGTGAGCCACACACTGGCCTTTCCTTCTTTTGAAGATAAAGCAAAGCAACCATTTTATCATAGAATAAGAATGCACTGCATGTAATTAATAGAACAGTTAATAGTTTATTTTTTCCAAAAAGTATAATGTAAACAGGAGCCAGTGGCTCATGCCTGTAATTCTAGCTACTTGGGAGGCTGAGACCTGAAAGAGATTTTGAAGCCAGCCAGGGCAGAGAAGTACTAAAAACCCAAATCTCTAATTAACTAGCAAAAGCCAGGTACAAGTAGTAGATTACCAGCTGTGGACAAGAGGTGAGGTCCTGAGTTTAAGCTCTAGTAATGGCACAAAAATAATGCACAGAGACCCAACCCTTAAAGAAAGGTTTTGATCCTATTACCCTTTCTTTATCCCTCTCTCTCATTGCCCTCCCTCACTTTGAAGCAGTTTTTAATAAGGTTCTTTATGCTATTTTCATACATATAAAATATACTTTTATCACAATCCTGCTATCTCCTTTGTCTTTTTTTTTTTTTGGTCTAGATTCCACATAGGAGGAAAGGCGTGTGGTATTTACCTTTCTGAGCTTGGTTTATTTACTCAACATCATCTCCAGGTATCCATTTTCCTGTAGTTTTTTTTTTTACACTTTTCAATTTTTCACTTCAACTTTTCAGACATGAGTGTGAGATTTATAACCAGAAGAGATAAGCAAGCTGAGTCCATGATTTTGTACTACAAAGTCATGTCCTAGCTGTGAGCTGAGTCGCTTCTCTTGATCCCTTGTGGGGGTGGAGGTAGCCCCGGGAACACAGGCTCTCCCAGACTCCTGCCAGTCCTCCCTACACTGCACAGCCAGCCCCACTGGGCAGGGCTGAGAGTCAGCATCCCCTGGGGATTTGTGGAGACACTGCAAGGATCTGGGGTGGAGGGAGATGACTGACCGGACCTGTCAACTCTACTTACATCCCACAACCTGCAGGCTCGGCCTGCTCTGCACCTGGCTAGCCTGCATGCTCTCTGATGAATGCCAAATGTATACAAAACAAACAACAACAAAAACCCAACAGTTGCAAAGGAGTGGCAAAAATGCAGGTATGAGAACCTTAAAGGATCAAAAGTCACTCTTCTCTGGAGACCTTGTGGCACTAGGGTATTGTGTCTGAGTCCAGATCAGAAGGTCAGGGTCAAGAAGGTTGCCTGACCCGAGTCACATCGGGGTCAAGAGGAGCCCTTTTCCTTCCGTTGATGAACTTGCCAGGTCTGCATTTGAATAGATGCTTATTTCTGTGTGAGAATACCTAGAATTGGTGTCATTTTCAAATACTCAGGAGTCATTTATGCAGTACTGGCAGGTGTTGCTTTCAAGCCTGGGCCCCTCCAGGGAAGCTGTTTAGCAAAACCCGGTAGAAATGGATGAAAGGCAAATCAAAGACAAATCAAATGAACTACAAGCTATTTTAAATACTTGAAAGAAACAATTTATTCACAATAAGAGAAACATAAATTAAGTTCTCAAGATTTTTTCCCCCAGAGCAAGACCCTGTAGTTAGTAATTAACAGTACTAAGACTAGAAAAAGAGAAATGGGGGGGGGGGGGGGTAGAATCAGTCACTGTTACTCAAACAGTACAATAATAGTTGTTTCAGTTAACGTGGATGCCAGACTCAGCTTAAATAGCTTGGCAACAGTGGGACCTGACAATTGAAGCCAGCACAGGCAGAAAAGATCATGAGACTTTTTTGGGGGGTGAGTCATGGGGTTTGAACTCTGGGCCTGGGCACTGTCCCTCAGCTCTTCAGCTCAAGACAAGCGCTCCACCACTTGAACCACAGCGCCACTTCCTGTTTTCTGGTGGTTGATTGGAGATAAGAGTCTCATGGACTTTTCCTGCTCAGGCTGGCTTTGAACTGTGATCCTCAGATCTCAGCCTCCTGAGTAGCTAGGATTACAGGCGTGAGCCACCAGCACTTGGCATTCCTGGAGACTCTTATCTCCAATTGACCATAAAAAGCCAGAGGTGGAGCTGTGACTCAAGTGATAGAGCACCAACCTTGTATGAAAAGCAAAAAGACAACTCCCAATCCCTAAGTTCAAACTCTAGAACTGACACACACACACAAAAGAAGAACCTTGAGAAATGGAATATTGATATATTTATATACATACATAATTTATACCAAGATATTTCTTTTCTGTTCTTTTTTTTTCTGTTTTTTGGTTTGGGTTTTTGTTGTTGTTGTTATTGTTGTTTGGGGTTTTTTTTCTTGGTGCCATTTTTGGGGCTTGGACTCAAGGCCTGGGCACTGTCCCTGAGCTGTTTTGCTCAAGGCGTGTGCCCCACTACTTGAGCCAAAGCTCCACTCCTGGCTTTTTTGGTGGTTAATTGGAAAGAATCTCATAAACATTCCTTTCTGCTGGCCTTGAACTATGACCCTCAGACCTCAGCTAGTTTGGTAGCTAGGATTTCACATGTGAACCATGGGTGCCCAGCTATTTATTTTTTTATTTAACTAATTAACTTCATTTATGGGGGTAGTACTGAGTTTGAACTCAGGGTTTACCAGACAGACAATAGATAGTACTGGGGTTGGTCCTTTTCTGCTTAGTTATTTTTAGATAGTTATTTTTTGCCTGTGGCTAGCCTCAGACTGCCATCATCTGATCTCTGCCTTCAAAGAAGCTGGGATTGCAGGCATGAGCCACAACACCTGGATACTTTTTACTTTTGGTGGTATTGAAACCAAACTCAGCCAGGCACCAGTGGCTCACGCCTGTAATCCTAGCTACTTAGGAGGCTGAGATCTGAGGATGGCAGTTCAAAGCCAGCCCAGGCAGGACAGTCCGTGAGACTCTTATCTCCAATAAACCACTAGAAAACCGGAAGTGGCACTGTGGCTCAAGTGGTAGAGCACTTGCCTTGAGCTGAAGAGCTGAGGGACAGCGCCCAGACCCAGAGTTCAAGCCCCATGACCGACCAAAATAAAAAGAAATTGAACTTAATGCCTTGTACCTGCCAGGCAGATACTCTACATTATTATTTTGTTCTTTTTTTT